GAGACTAGACCGTCCCATACAGACAAACTTGCCGTTTATTTTGCAAATCGAGCTCAACACTGCCCCTACCCTCCTGGAGCACTTTCGTTGTGTTTTGGAATTTGCATGTGTTTTGGAGTTTGCAAGTGTTTTGGAGTTTGCATGTGTTTTGGAGTTTGCAAGTGTTTTGGAGTTTGCATGTGTTTTGGAGTTTGCAAGTGTTTTGGAGTTTGCAAGTGTTTTGGTGTTTGCAACTGTTTTGGAGTTTGTACGTGCTTTGTCTCTAGGGGCCACCGTACATTCTCAATCATCCAGGAAAATAAATCTCCAAAAGTTGATTCTGTTCATCTGGACATAGCGTTTTCTGGGAGAAACGTTAATAATTTCACTTGCATCCCAGTCACGGAAGCGTTGGAGGTAGTCCGTAAGAGATTACAGGATGACACCAACCTCAGCAACAGGACCACTCTCAGCATCGACCAAGTGTGTTTGCTTTTGGAACTGTGTCTTCATTCCACCTACTTCACATACAAGAGTCAGTACTACAGGCAGAAACATGGGTGTGCCATGGGCTCCCCAGTTTCACCCATTGTGGCCAATTTGTACATGGAAGAAGTGGAAAAGAGGGCTTTGCTATCCTACCCTGGAACACCACCAAGCCATTGGTTCAGATATGTGGATGACACCTGGGTGAAAATCAAATCTCAGGATGTACTACATTTCACGGATCACATCAACTCGGTGGACCGACACATCAAATTCACCAGGGAGGATATGAAAAGTGGCAGGGTAGCCTTCTTAGACTGTGAGATTTCCATCAGTAATGGGGGACATCTAAAAGCTGACGTGTACCGTAAACCTACTCATACGGATCAGTATCTAAGGTTTGACTCTCATCATCCACTGGAGCACAAACTGGGTGTCATCAGGACGCTACAACACAGAGCGAACACCATCCCCACTCACACAGCGGCCAAGGAGGCAGAAGAACAGCACATCAAAAAGGCCCTGAGTAAATGTGGTTATCCCAGCTGGACTTTTGTCAAAGCTGGAAAGGCACCTAAAGAAAGCTCCAGCCGATCCAGGAGAGAAGGACAACCGCTGCCCAAGCGAAAACCTGAAGTGATCCCATATGTGTCAGGAGTATCGGAACAGTTGAGACGCATTTTTTCGAAACACCGGGTCTCTGTGGCTTTTAAACCCCAAAACACGCTGCGCCAAAAATTGGTCCACCCCAAGGATCGGGTCCTTGGGGTGGACCAATTTTTGTGTCCCCCGACACAAACAGTAACATAGTGTACGCTGTTAAGTGCCAGGAGGCTTGGCAGGATTTATACATCGGGGAAACCAAACAACCTCTGGCGAAGCGGATGGCACAACACAGAAGAGCT